TTGATTGCATTTTGATGCTTTAATTATGGTTCTTGATTTTTGTAGAAGGGTGCTTGATTAATCGGTTTGATTATTGGACAAAAATAGTTTATGGTTTTATGATTATTTATTAAAATAATCAAATATCTTTAAACTCATTTAACTATGTGTTTGTTTTAATTATGAAATTATGTTTGCATTATGATACTTTAATTATGGTGATTAGAAGGGTGTCGTAATAATCCAATAATTTTTCTAATTACTTAATGGCAAAATAATTAGATTTTAAGAAGCATGTAACATGCATTTGCATTGAGTTTGATTATGAAGATAAGTATAAAATTACGTGACTATTTTTTATTTTAATAAATTAAATGGATAATTATTTTATTATGATTTTTCAATTCGAAATAATCCTGTCCATGTTAGAATTTATTGAAACCGAAAGGTTCAAGATAAAAACCTCACAAGTCTTATTCAAGAATAAATCATGAAAAAACAATTTTTTTTTGTTTTTGTTTTTGTTTTTTAATTTAATTTTTATTATTAGGTGGAATATTGCATTATCCATGATAGAGAAATAAGTTATTGATTGATAAGAATCAATCCATGTGAGAGATAAGGGAATCTTTACTATAAATATTTTGGTCCATTTGTTCTTTCCGTTTGTCGTCTATCCACGATTGTCAATTTCAAATATATAAAAATTACCCATTTACCCTCAAAAGTCAAATCTTGACATTTCTTTCTCGTCGACTAATTATTCTTCAACTTTTATAGGCAAAAGAGGCGAAGACCGGGTTCCATTAACATGGGAAACCCGTCTCCGGGCAGCCATTGGAGCTGCCCGGGGAATTGCCCGAATCCACACTGATTCGGGCGGAAAACTCGTTCATGGCAACATCAAATCATCAAACGTTTTTCTAAATTCCCAAAATTACGGATGTGTCTCCGATATCGGTTTATCCACAATCATGTCCCAAATTGCTGCCCCAATTGCTCGGGCAGCCGGTTATCGGGCACCCGAAATTACAGACACCCGAAAAGCCACTCAACCATCGGATGTTTATAGCTTTGGTGTTCTTTTACTTGAACTTTTGACCGGAAAGTCACCGGTGCACACCACTAGCGGTGATGAGGTCATCCATTTGGTCCGGTGGGTCCACTCGGTGGTCCGGGAAGAGTGGACGGGTGAAGTTTTTGATGTTGAATTACTAAAATACCCCAACATTGAGGAGGAGATGGTGGAGATGTTGCAGATTGCGATGTCTTGTTTGGCGAGAGTGGCGGATCAGAGGCCGAAGATGGTGGAGGTGGTTAAAATGGTGGAGGGTGTTAGGCGGACGGGCTTGCCGGAAAGTTCAACACCGCCACGGCCGGAGGCTTTGGAGATGGAGGCATCTGGTGTTTGATGAGTCTCCGGTGGCCGGAGTTTCTTTCATTATCTCAATGAATTGGAGGATGATACTTTCGTGGCATTGATGTGTTGTAGTTTTATCTTTGCAAAGTTTTTATGATATTGTTTTGTATGCAAGATTTGATTTTAATTTCTACTTTTTTATTTGTTTGGTGGTTAATTAAATTATTATTTTTGTGATGGAGTTGTGTTTATTTTACTCTACATCTTTCACATATTAATATCTGAATTATTGGTATATTAAATGTTAAATTACTGACCTTATTCTATTTCTTTTTACGTATTAAATTTACTGACACAGTCAAACTCTTTTTGAATTTATGAGTACGACACGTTACAAAAAATAAGGTGATAGTCAATTTAGTGATGAGTCAAATTCTTTTTGAATAAATGAGTCACTTATCTACGTTAATTTTTGATAAAAAGTAAAAACTAAGTGGTTTATTATGTGTCGTTTGCCATTATTTTAAACAATTATCTTTGTTGAGAAATTAACTAGAATAAAAATAAAAGCTAAAGGCGGTAGCCAAATTGCTCAAAACGTGCCATGAAAGATGTTGCGTATATAAATATAAAGAAATATAATACGTAAGAGAGAATACACTAGATTTTTGAGATTCATATGATTAATATAATCATGTTACATTCACATAGGAACTAAAAATAAGGGTTTATTATTAATTTATATTAATCATGTTACATTCACATAGGAACTAAAAAGGGTTTATTATTAATTTCAAAACAATGTTAGAGTAGATTAGTTTGAAAATAAAAAATAAATAAAATAAAATAAAATAAAATATGTTTACAATTACATATATATAAATTTAGGTTACTTGCTTTTGACCCAAAGTAAAGTATTAGATTTTGACCATAAAAGTGTATATGGGTTGGCCCAAAAAATTTCTTCCCGGTGGGTTGCACCTGGACCATGCAAGGAACGACTTTTCTAACAAAGACTATTTTTGTGGGAGCGGAATCAAAAACAATCCGCCTTTACAACCCAATAATATATCATTTAGTGGATAATCAACAACACAACTCCCTTCCAATGCATGCATCTCTCATAAGCCTAAAATTGTGCAATATCATATCTGTAGTATGTCACATTCTCTTCAATTTTCAGTAAGTTATTTTGAACACACCCATCTTACCCCCACACTCACAACCACACGCCCAAGCTTATGTTGGTGATTTGCATCACTCATATTGTTTAAGTATAATGAATTAATTTGTTGACGAATGCAATTTTAATAAACATTGAACAAGGGTGGTGCAGCATGTACACTTGTTTGAGTTTATTCAAGATTCAAAGTACATTATCATTTAGGGGCTTCAACGGGGGTTCGGGGGCAACGCCCCTGGTAGCGGGGTTCAAGGGATGACAACCCCTCCCGAGGTCCAAGGGACAGATCCCCTAGCTGGGTTAATATTGTTTTATGAAAAATGCATAGAAATCTAACTTTAAGAATTTTGATCAAGTTTTGACCTTGACAATTTTGACCCTAACGATTTACCCCAGACATGAAACCGTTTTAGTGGTAGTTTCGTGACAGTTTTGAAAATGTCTTATGACAAGTTTCTAGCAGTTTTCAGACAAGGGTGTTATAGCCGTTTTTGGTCATTAATTTGGTACACATAAGAATCATCACATTCACATTCTTTGTCTTGGAACATCATTGAATTTTATCCAATTGAGATTTCGAGAATACCATTGAAATACTTTAATTTGATAGTGTAGTCACGACTTTCAATGAATCCAAAAAATCGAAATACCCCTGCTTTCTAATAGCCTAGCCCCTTATGCCTACACCCTACCTTCCTTATCCCACCCCATACAACTCTCTTCTATACCCACACCTCTACGCATATGTCGATTATAAACCAAAACGTCACCTAAGGGTTATGTTTTTTTTTCCAATTATTTTAACAAATTTTATTCCTTCTAAAAACATCTTGCGAATCAAAATGCCCCTTAGGGGTTTGGTTTTTGCTTGTTCAAGAAAGGGTAAAATAATTGCTTGCTTGATTGACGTTTTAGGGTGCGAGTTGACATAAAGATTCTTATTTTGATACTCTTGCTTTGCTTCTTGTCATCCAGATATATATAGACCACTACTTTCTTATAGTTTAACATATGTCACTCAACTAATATGAACATTGATTAAGGCGCGGTGAAGATGTATAACTTTATTCTTTTACAAATAAAAATACAACTTTTTAGCGGTTTTTGATTATAGGTTCTTTAAGTTTTGTATTATTTATTGTTTGACTAGGTTTATGTTCCTATAAATATTAGTCAAAGTCATTAGATAGTAGACAATATGTGCCTCGACAACATGACTTTAAATATATATCTTACTATGGTTTCAGAAGACAGTTTTACACGATATGGCATGAAGGAAAATTTGAGAAATTTTAAGATGAAATTGCCATCTAGGTAGCATCAATTACATGACAAATACTTACTTACCGGGTCATTATAATACTTCTCTTGATTGAATCGATGTTTTTCTTAGTATATTTTTTTACAAAATTTGGTGCCAGACCATTATTTGATCTTAGGTTATAAGGAGTGGGCATGTTAAGGCTCTCGCTCACTTCACTATACACCACCTCTAGGTTCTCGCTATGGGGTACGCCAAAGAAGACTCGCTGCCTGAACAACGAGAAGAAAGAGAATAGATAAAGAAAAAAATTGAAGGTTTGATTAATCCTGATTAGTTGCTTTTTATAAACATGGGGAAGTACTACCGCTTTATGTGAGATACGTGACCATTTGCAAACCAAACTTCCAATAATTTGTTTATTATTTATTATTATTTTATTTAGAATAAGAAAACATACCGAACTTTTAATTGTTTCTTTAAATAAGTATTAAATAAATAATCATATATAACATATAAAATAAAATGTATTAATTCATTAATAGATGTTTGTTATGGACTGTATATTAAATTATTAAGTTATTTTGGGTTTGAAAAACTACAACTTAATTGAAAAAAAAATATTAGGAGTATTACCATTTCTTATCAAATGTTAAGAATTAAGTGCTAAGAAGGAAAAATGATGTGACAATAAAAAAAACTTAAAAAACTGATGTGACAAAGTACTAAGAATGTTACTATTTCCTTTAGTCTTATCGCATGTAGCAGCCACATGCTTTTTATTTTAAGATTACCTGAATATATTAAAGATCTTTTGCAAATCTTATTTTATTAAGATGTATTGTTTTGTCGAACATTTAAAAATGTAACACTTATATGTAATATATATTTGCATTGATTATTTACTATATTTTGTGTAACAAAAACGTGACAAAATCATGAATGACATTATTTATTTATTTATTTTTATTTTTTATTTTCATAACTTGCATTAATACGATAGCATAAAATTGTAAAACCTATTACTCAAACCAAAATGAGACAAATTGTCATTATATTGATTACACACTTAACTTTCATGAAAATTATAACATGTATATTGTTTTCTCACGGTCAATAAAGTTTCTTCAAATTCTAACATCTTCAAGATGACTTTTTACTGAAAAATAATAAAACTTTAACCCTTTCACATATAATGTCATCAATTCATACGCTAAATGGTCAAATAATGCTGCCATCATCAATTTTACAGATTATATCATTATTTTGCAGATAACATTTTTGGAGATTTGATAAAATTTTAATCATTAAAAAAAAGGTTAATCCTTTTCTTTAAAAAAAATTATTAAATTGAGAGTTAATCTAATATTCACGCTCGAATCAATTAAAATTAAAACCAAAATCCATGATTCCGTTCAAAAACAAGTTTTGTGGAATCAAACGATGGGAGCCCACTGAAAGAGAAAAAGAATATCTGTTTATAAAACCCATTTCTATAAACACCGTAGTTTCCTCCGATTATTCAGAATAGTTACAAGTTTAATAGCGACAGGAAGTGGAGGATCTTCAAGGTGATTTGCTCCTCTTTCGATTTTTATCTTCTATTTCGTATCTAATGTAGAATTATAGCTATATTATGTACGCAATTTCATCGTTGTTTGATGTATTCTGATTTATGTTAGGGTTTGTACTTTTGTGAACTTTAGGAATTCCTTGTCCTGATCAGCGATGGCTTCGAAGCGGATCTTGAAAGAACTCAAGGATCTTCAGAAAGATCCTCCCACCTCTTGCAGTGCAGGTATTGCATCGCTATCGATCTGTTTAGATCCTGATTTTAGCGGCTTTGTGAAGTTTCGGATATTGATTCGTGTCCTATATGTTTATATTTGTTATGTAAGTAAGCTTTATGCGCTTGATTATCCATTTAGGTTGAGAATTAGGGATCCATGGTTTGATCGTTAGGTAAATAAGCTGCTTTTTTATGAAGGTAGGTGAACGATATTGATGTATAAGTTTGTTGATAAAAAGTTAACTCTTTAGTGCAACTTTGAGGTCTTGAAATGATTACATAATCCAATATTCCAATTTCCAGTCACCCTCTTTATGTTTAGTTTCTAGATGACCCTCGCAATCCACCTTGATTAGGGTTTATAACTGTAACCAAAGCTTCATATCTCATGACTTTTCTGGAATGGTAGTTACAATATTTTAACAGCAGGAGTTTGAGTTTTTTCAATTATTGGATATCCCTAAATAAGCTGTCTCTTTCATGGAAATTGAAAATGATGATAAGTAACCTGTCCCTTTCAGTGGACTGAAAATTCAGATGCAAATCACAAGAATATACAAAACCTGATCTATTAAGTGACAATGAGTCTTAAGCATCTAAACACCCGATAACTATCTAAATTTGAAATAATCATATTCTGTTTATGAATGTGGATCTTTATTGTAAGCCCTTATTTCTGTAATGGGATTTTAGGCCCAGTGGCAGAAGACATGTTTCATTGGCAAGCTACAATCATGGGTCCTCCAGATAGTCCATATTCTGGTGGAGTCTTTCTTGTTACTATCCATTTCCCTCCGGATTATCCATTTAAGCCACCTAAGGTAATCATCATTCACAAATGTAATTTGCTTTTTGAAGATATAACAGAAGAACATAACAGGTTGTACTGTGTTTGATATGCATTGGATAAGACAAGACAAAAAGTTGCAGTTATTGTGATAGTGTCTCTATCCTATGTGTAAAAGACATGAATGCCCTTTTATCATCATTGTCTTGGATTTTTTTTTGCTGATTAAATTACATTTATGCCCTTTGATAGGTAGCCTTCAGGACAAAGGTTTTCCACCCAAACATCAACAGCAATGGAAGCATTTGCCTTGATATTTTGAAGGAACAATGGAGCCCAGCTCTCACCATTTCCAAGGTAAGTGGGGCCCTGTTTCATAATATTTTCTATTTTGTGGGCCCTTTCTATTTTTTGTCACTATCTTTACCCAATCAACCACAACCAAGCAATAATGGAAATGCATTTTTTTTTAACATATAATAGAAACCTACTCAACCAATAAAGAATTTTGAGTGTGTTATTATGAGTAAAAAAGGATTCTCACTGATTTTATAAAACAAACTGTTTAAATTGTATTCAAGTTGCTAACAAATCCAATACTTAGGGTTTATTTGTTTTGAAACTTGTTTTGCAATATTTTTGTACAGCTTTCTAAATTTTTTTTACTACCTTTTTATACTTTGTTATAAATTTTTTGACTTTGTATACAGTTGTTTTACAATATCTTTTTACAGCATTTAAAAGCTTTTTTTTATAACCTATGAAGGTTGAAAAAACATAAGCAAAAGGTTGAAACATAAATAGAAATGTTTAAAAAGGGTGTTTCTTTTAGAGGTTTAAATAGTTTCAAAAAGTTTTTTACAACTTACTATTTTTTTAAAAAAGAGTAAAAAAGGTTGTAAAAAAAGTTTAAAGATGGTGTAAATCAAGTTAAAAATGTTTAAATAGTAAAAAAAAAGGTTTTAACAAGAAGTTGTAAAAAATAGTAAAAAAGTTGTATTTGTTTATATAAAAGGTTTTGAAATAATTTGTCAAATATGTTTAAAAGAGGTTGTAAAAAGTCTATAAAAAGTTTTTAACTTTTTTTTTTTAATAAATTTTCACTTTTTACACAATTTTTTTGAACTTTTTCTACAATATTTTTTACAACCTTTCTAAACTTTTTAGATTTTTTACACAAAATTTTATACATATTTGGCAATCTTTTTTTACAACATTTAAACTTTTTAACAAGCATTTTTAAACTTTTTTACATCATTTTTAAACTTTTTGTTTTACAACCTAGGAAGGTTGAAAAAACGTAATAAACGATGATTTTTTTAGAGGTTTAAAAAGGTTCAAAAACGTTTTTACATCTCACTCTTTTTTTTTTTTTTTTTTTTTAAGAGTTAAAAAGGCTGTAAAGAAAATTTGAATAGTTTGCATCATAAAATCATTGAAAAGCCAAGTAAAATAAAGTATATGTCAAGAAAATATATGCACAATGCAATTATAATGAAGAAAGTGTGATAAAAAAGTTAAAATAAATGTGCAAGTATATGGATAGAAAAAAATAAAGTGAGTTGAGATTTTTTGTATTATTATTGTTATTAGGTTTTGCTGTCGATATGCTCGTTGTTGACAGACCCAAACCCGGATGACCCTTTGGTGCCTGAGATTGCTCATATGTATAAGACCGATAGGAGCAAATATGAGACCACAGCTCGAAGCTGGACCCAAAAGTATGCCATGGGTTAGATGTGCCTCACTTTAATTTCTTTCTATTTTTTTGTTGGATTTAAAAAAATTCAAAATATGGTAATTAAGTCGTTATTGTAAGATATATGGTAACAAAAATCCCATTTATGCTTTTATTTATTATTTATCGACAAGATATTTATCATTTGTGCTAGGTAATGAGTACCAACATTATTTACTTAAATCGGTTTTTTTCGTTTCTAACCATTTTTGAGTTTAGTATAACGAAAACTCAATCTCATGTTACTTAAATCGGTTGCTTAAAATGGTGCTTGTTATATTATTATATTGTAGCATGATGAGCGTCAAACAACTTGATCCATTTGTTTGGAGATACATCCAATTTGGTTCGTTATTTAATGTGTTCTATAATCTATATCCACCTCTGGTTAAAACATAAATATGTGAAGACGAAATTATTATTATTATTATTTTGGAACTGCAGATGATGTTATTATTTATTAAGTTAAATGTATAACATAACAGTTCGTTTGATGAACTTTTATTTCTTTTTACACAATAACAATAATCTTGGCGCAGTTCCAAAAAAAAAATGGTTTAGGCACCGTTCAAAAAGAAAAGCTTCTAAGTCGAAAGTTATTTCAAATGGTTTTTGGAAGTTTTTAAAAATTTAAAGGTATTAGTTTTGGTTTTTATCCAATTTTACGCATTTAAAAATTGAAAAACGGTTTTGACTTTTGACAAACACCTTCCGCAACTAAAAATTATAACTTCCAGGCATTAGTTAGTTAGTTTTGTCAAACATAGCTAATTATTTAATTTGACATATAATAGGGTTCGTTATATCTTCTTGAAAATCTTATTTTAATCTATATATTTAGAAGGAAATTAAATTGATTAAATTGTGTTTCTCTATTTAGAAACACAGATATAAAATAGTTATCAAATTTGACCTATAATAGGTTGACTGGTTATATCCTCTTAACAATCTCATTTTAATCCATATATTTAGAAACACAAAGATATAAAATAATTTTGTAATTTGTCCTCTTAACATTCTCATTTTAATCCATATATTTAAAAACACAAAGATATAAAATAGTTAGCTAATTTGACATGTAATAGTTTGACTTGTTATATCCTCTTAACAATCTCATTTTAATTCATATATTTAGAAACCTAAATATATAAAATAGTTATCTAATTTAACATATAATAGTTGGGAGTTGATATTTTCACGGAGCTTTTTTATCTTTTCACTGAAAAATATAGTATATTGACCATTATACTCTTATTTCCAATTTTCCATTCATAAACTAAATAGTGAGAAAGCAGTGTTTTTCTTTCCAACCTATATTAAATCCAAACCCATTCACAAGTGCCATCAGAAGTCGGAACCAGATCAAGCTAAGCAAATTCTTCTTGCAACAGTTTATAAGATAAGTTTATAGGGACAGTAGACGATGTCGATTATTCCAAGTTTCTTCCGTGGAAGACGAAGCACACCTTTGATCCTTTTTCACTCGAAATCTATGACCCTTTCATAGATTTCCTAATTTGATCTGTGTTTGATATCCCAAGGGAAACCAACGCTTAAGTAAACACACATATAGATTGGAAGGAAACCCTATCTAAGGCCGATCTTCCTAGTATTAAGAAAGAACAAATCAAGGCGGATGTAGAAAGCAACATGATTAATCTACAAATCAGAGGCAAGAAAAATGTTGTGAAAGAAGATAAAAACATACATGGCATCCTTTCGAATGAACCAGTGGAAAGTTTACTGGAAATTTCACGTTGCCAGAGAATGCTAATATGGATCAAGTGAAAACAGACATGGAAAACAGAGTGCTCACGATTACTGTACCCGGGAAAAAAGGGAAGAAGACATATGTCAAGTCCATTAAAATCTTTGTTTAAAAAACCCACTGGTCTATAAAGTTATACATGATTAAGGGTGTATAGTGTTTAGTCTGGTTGGTTGTGTTTGTTGTGTGTGTCAATAATTCAAGTCTTTTTGTTTGGTTCGTCCATCATGTTTGGTGTACGGGTGATCAAGAAGAAATGATAAAAATCTTGTTTTGTGGGTTGAAGGAGCGCCAACAGAAGATGCAGCCCATGGGGGAAGAAGTGTTTCGTCCGCCGTGCCTCGCTTTGGAGTTTCCAAGCCTTGGTCATGAGTTTTTGGAAACAAAAACTGCATTTTTTTAAATTGTTTACAAATTCAAATAGGGGTATAATAGTCAATATGTAATTTTTTTCAGTGGAAGAATAAAAAAATTAAGTGGAAAAATCAATCCCATAGCAGTTTGGTTCGTTATATCCTCTTAAGAGTCTCATTTAATCCATATATTTAGAAACACAACAATATAAAATAGTTATCTAATTTGACGTTATATCCTCTTTTAACAATCTCATTTATCCATATATTTAGAAACACAAAGATATAAAATAGTTATCTAATTGGATCCATAATAGTTCGACTCTTATATCCTCTTAACAAACTCATTTTAGTACATATATTTTGAAAGACAAAGATATTAAATAGTTATGTAATTTGACTTATAATAGTTTGATTCGTTTATATCCTCTTGACAATCTCATTTAATCCATATATATATATATATATATATATATATATATATATATATATATATATATATATATATATATATATATATATATATATATATATATATATATATATATATATATATATATATATATATATATAGAAACACAAAGATCTAAAATAGTATAATAATTTGATTCGTTATATCCTCTTAACAAACTCATTTTAATACATATATGATATATTTAAAAACACAAGATATAAGTTGTAGGGATATTCACTAAATGAGCTTGAATTCATTATCTTTTTTTTTGGGTGAATTCCCGGTTTAATCGTGTCCTCAATATTAATTATTAGATTACTACGATTTTGGAATCTCAGTTAGATGACATGTCATACTCCTTTTATGCATCACGTAGTACAGTTTGGGGACAACGATTTAAAAATGTAACGAAGTTTAAAAAATGTACAAAAAAGACCATTATCTTTTTTTTAGTATACAAAATACTATTTTATCGGCTATTATAGGTTTACCCGGTTTCCAAATGCTCAAAAAATACAATTATTGTTTTTTTTAAGTACAAAAAATACCATCAATGTTACTATTTGTACACAGAATACCAATGAAGTACACATATGTTAAAAAAAACATTATGGTAACCAGGTACTTCAGTTACATGGAAAAATGACTTAAAAAGTGTAACGAAGTTTCCAAAATGTTCAAAGAATACCATACTTTTTGTTAATTGCGTTGTTTTCGGAATATATAGAACACAATCACCTGAGATTATGAACTGTCATATCAGTTCACAACAATTGTGCAAATCTCTTTCATTCCTTCACTGGATCGTTCTTGTGGTAACAAGAGAAGTAAGTGGGTAATAATCTTAGGTAAACATTGTGACATCCCCAAAATCACGGCCAGAAAAGATCGGTTTAATTTATGCTTTTAAAATAATTTCAGAGTAATCCTTTGATTAAAATAGTTGCGGAATTTGTTCCCAAAACAAAATATGATAAAAATAGGATTTACCAAAGCATTTCTTAAAGAAATATATTTTTCATCATATTACAATACTTGGGATGTCATGTTCCGATAAACAGACCAAAAGCATAAACATTTCAATACAGACCTTACAACAGTTATTTACAACAACAGGTATATAATCCAAAATATCTTGACACATCATCCAACTTATGCTCTGGCGCTACTACCTGTAATACAAAGAAACTGATTGGTTCAGACTTAGAAGTCTGGTGAGCATATAGGGTTTTACACCCATAATAAATGATTCCATTTAATTTCATCAACCAACAATAACCCAATTACACATTCCCGTTGTTCTCACTTTACTTCCCTAAGACAACTAACACAAGGGATCTAGTCTAAGAATATTTCATCAGGGCGACAACACATGCATTCGGGGGTTTCCCAGCAATATATGTCAAATAGGGCAACCATGAGGGGGATGGAGTACAAAGAATGAACACCCAAGTTCATTAACACCTATAGGTGGCGAACCTGCTAGCGTTCCATAGGACTGTCTAGAAAAGTCTGTGGTCGTCATCTAAACTCCGCTAGATGACTAAATCAAAAACAACATCGAGACCTCTCATCTGTTTATCACACATTAACTATCTATCCATGCTCTACCCAACATATTAGTAGATAATATATATATATATATATATATATATATATATATATATATATATATATATATATATATATATATATATTTATACATAGTTTAAAACCTGCATAGCATTCTCATTCAATACATATTCCAAACAACAGATGAGATACATACACATAACACATATTTCATAGAGAATAAATCATATCTATGAGATAGAAGAAAGTGAATATACATTCACACATATAACAACAAAATATACACATAACACGTATTTCATATAAAATACTTCATAATTATGCGTTAGAAGAAAGTGACTACACAATCACTTGATCAGAAGATGACCAGACAACACTACGACTTGTAGAAGTAGTATTCTTCGGTAGATCTGGAAGATCTTCACAAAACCAGGCTCCTTGCGGGCAGACCTTCGGCTTGGGAATTTTACTTCTTGGGATCTTCGGGGCTTCATGACTTGCTTCGGGTCTCGGGAATGATACCGGGGCTTCGGGATATTTCTTGCACGAAAATCGAGGTAAAACAGGAGAGAGAGAAGAGAAAAGGAGCAAAATGGCCGGCTGCCTTCGCATCCTTTATATAGGGGCAGAAGCCTTGCATTACGCTGGGCGTAATGCTCAACTACGCGGGGCGTACGCTTCGGATCTTCACTGCTTACGTACTTCGGAGCACTCGAGTACGAGGCGAGTCATGCTTCGCTGTACGCTGGGCGTTCAGATCTACGCTGGGCGTAGTTTGGATAGGATCAGTGACTCCTTCAGATATTATCCGAAATTCTTAATTAAATATATATTTTAATTATTTATAAAACTTCCGAAATTCATATCTTCCTCATACGAACTCCGTTTTGAATGTTCTTTATATCCACGCGTAGGTGAGACTACGCTCTACAACTTTTATTTAGACTTCGTCAGCTAATTTTGACTTTATTTTTATTATTTATTTTTAGTAGGCCGGGATAGGAAAACTTCGTTATAAATTCATAAGTTCTTCATCTGACATCTGTTTTCGCCTGTATTTTTATCG